TCCACTTTGAATTTAAAAGGCTAATTTCGCAAAAAATTATTTTTGGTTTTCTTTCCAAAAATTTTATACCGATTCAGCCTTGGTATAAAGTGATTACGTACCTAGGAACTCCTTCATCTCTTGGCTTGCGTTGCTTAGACGTTTGCCTACAAGAGACAGGCTAAGGAGATGGGGTATGACAGTACCAGAGGAATGCGTTCTTTGTGCAGCAGAAGTAGAGACTCACCATCACCTATTCTTTGAGTGTCCTTTCTCTGTGGCTATTTAGAGCTACTATGCAGCAAAAGTCTGGCCGAACCCACCCCAGGATATTCACTCGGCAGCGGCTTGGATTAATCAGTCAAGATCTTCTTCACCATAAAGCTCATCTTCCAATGTTCCATTTATCATATACGGAAAGAAAGGAACATGAGGATTTTTACAGACAAGGTAACTCATGCATTAACTGTTCGTGCAGCGGTGGATCGTCAAATCAAGGACCGGCTCTTATCCATCAAGCCATCGATGAGTCTTCAGCCTTCTTTCCTGCAGGTTTTCTTCGCCTGCACAAGGCCTCCGTGACTCCCTCTTTATCTTCTATCTTTTTCCTTTTTTTCTTGTTTTTTGTTGGGGTTGTTGTGTGTTTGTAAGCTGTCGCTTGAATAAGTTGCTAAGCAACATGTAAACTCTTAAAAATGATATGAAATTTTAACATGATTACCAAAAAAAAAAACTTTGGCTTATAGGAAAGAGAGATGAATATACATCTATGGCCCTAATTTTGAATAAAAGGTTTGGAAACTGAAGAAGAAGAATAGCTCTGTGTTGATGTGGAGTTTTTTTATGTTGTTTACGTATTGAACCTGAAAGATATAGGAGTAGTGAAAATTGAAAAAATAAGATCGTGGACAAAGAAAATGGATCATGAGCTGTTTCTGAGGGAACTAATGTTGATACGGTTTATGTTTTCTTTCGTAAGCATTATCTAGGTTTACTTGTTTTAAAAAAAAATATCTTACGTGGCAAAATACTATTCGCTATGTGACTTGGGCTTTAGATGTGCCGTTGAAAAATATAATAAACCGGATTGTCCGGTTATGAATTAATCGGTGACTAATTAATTATTAGTTTTATTACCGATGTCTCTCGGTCTGGTCTCAATGTATACGATTGGTCGGGTTCTGCGTTTTAGTCGTCCTCTTCCAAACTTGAGCATCTTCCCCAGAGTTTCATCTCTTTCTGCTTCCATGGATGCTTCGAATCTCCGCAAACCTGCCTTCTCTCAATCCAGCAGAAGGTTTTTTTGTTTTGTTTGGGCACTAAATGTCTCAAGGTTTGGTCTTGATTCGATTATGAGTTTCTGATGGATGTAGCAGTGGTAGAGGAGGAGGAAGAGGAGGAGGAGGAGGAGGAAAGGATAAAATTGATGCACTTGGAAGACTCTTGTAAGTGATTTGGAGTCTTAAAGTATGGATTTTTTTTTTAGGTTAAAAATTGAATTTCTCTTTATTGGATTTTGATTAGGACGAGAGTGTTGAGACACATGGCTACTGAGCTGAGATTGAACATGAGAGGTGATGGTTTTGTTAAAGTTGCAGACTTGCTTAACCTGAATCTAAAAACATCTGCAAACACTCCCTTGAAGTCCCACACCATTGATGAGATTAGAGAGGTCAGTTTCCACCCCCCACTAGTCCCTTTCAGTTGTTACCATTAAGATTTCTTTTCTGGTGATGTTAACTTTGCAGGCAGTGAGAAGGGACAATAAGCAACGTTTTAGCCTCGTTGAAGAGGATGGAGAGCTCTTGATACGTGCTAACCAAGGCCACTCCATCACGGTAATTTGGAATCTTTCTCTCTTTGATCATGAAATTTTGTGGCCTTTCCATCGTCTATGTACAATAATGATTTGTCTTGCTACATAGAGAACTGTTGATTTTGTCTCTTCTAGTTTTTATCTCTACTTATATAGCTTCTGCTTATGTCTTTATTTGCAGACGGTTGAATCTGAAAAGTTACTTAAACCAGTAATGTCACCGGAAGAAGCTCCAGGTAAAAACAACTATACGAGGACATTTACTTATTCACTTGTGTTCTGTATCGGATTGTGTTTCTCATGTTCATTTGATTGGTTGTTAATAGCAGTGTGTGTGCATGGAACTTATAGGAAGAATTTGGAATCCATCTTAGCATCTGGCTTAAAGCGTATGAATAGACTCCATGTTCACTTTTCTTGTGGCTTGCCAACAGATGGTGAAGTGATAAGTGGTATGATTTTGGTTTTGATATTATTGTTGTTTCTCAGTAATTGCATTTATCTGATTCCAGTTTGATATGTTTTTTTTTGGCAAAGGCATGAGAAGAGATGTTAATGTATTGATCTTCCTTGACATCAAGAAAGCTCTTGAAGGTTAGAACTAAATTCTTTTGTATTTAACAATATGGCTGTCCTTCTAACACTGTAGTTTCACGTTTGATCTATTTCTGTAGATGGGATTGCTTTCTACATTTCAGACAACAAGGTGATTCTGACTGAAGGTATTGATGGTGTAGTGCCTGTTGACTACTTCCTGAAGATCGAGTCTTGGCCTAGTCGACAGCCAATTCCTTTCTGATTAGATTTTCATCAGTGACTTATTAGATAAACAATTGTTACTGCCTTTAATGTTTGATAATCCATGTTGTTACTGCGTCCCGGAGTGCTGGAAATCAATCACGTTTTTATCTGTTCTTTTATCTATTGAGAATAGATCAATATTTGATCATGAATGTTGTTTCAGTTGTCGGCAGTGAAACCAATGTTTGCAGCATTGTTTTGCAGAAACATTACAACTGGTGTTCTGTTTGTTCTTTTATCAGTAACTTTGACAATATAATAAAAAAAAGTTGGTTCATTGAAATGATCAGAAACATAATTGTAACTTGACAAAACAAACACTAAAACGAAAATGAGAAAATAAGTCTCAGTTCATACGAAGTGAACAGAAATTATTGAAGCCCTTTCAAGCACTCAATGCTCTCTAAGCCACAAGGGTGCTGGCAGTAGTAGACTCGCTGCAAAAAGGATAATCAAGATTTATATCAGAACCTTAACTTAACAAAAGATAGGAAACAACAACACATATTCTAAGAAACTGGTAGGTTATAGAGCACTTACTACTTCCAAACTGGGGGAAGCTTCTTGGTCTTCTTGTAGTAACGAGAAAGACGGTGGATCCTGCTCTCAACAAGAATCAACCTAAACTTGGAATCCTTGTCTTTGTTGTTCCTCTCCAAATGCTTGCGGATAGCAACTGCTTTCTTGATCAAGTGGTATAGATCCTCAGGAATCTCAGGTACAAGATAATATATTTATGGAAATATATATTTTTTTTTTCTTATCAACGATAGCTATGTAATAATCTGACACATAAAAAATTGACTTCTCAAATAATATTATAAAAATTTGTAATAAATTAAATTAAATTCTTTCATCGGTTGGGATATATTAAAACTATTGGTAGATTGTCCACTTTAAATTTAAAAGGTAAATTCCGTATTGATTTACTTTTGATTTTCTTTCCAAAAAGTTTTATACTAATTAGAGTTAAACTTCCTTTTATATATTAGACTTTCTTTTGTTTAATTTTCGATGTGAGATTTAAATTGAGATTTTTCATTAGCGATAAAACTATCTATTTTAAGGATGGAGATACCATTTGAGTTCCAGCAGCTGCGGGTAGATGATTGTTTTTAGGAAGTAGTGTCCAATCACAAACAAAATTTTATCTCTTGGTTTAGCTTTTTCTCATTTATTTTACCTACTTTGAGTTTAAGAATTGTCTCTAATTACCTAAATCATAGATGTGTGTTTCAATTCTTGTGGTTAAACTTTATTGTAGGATGAAAAGTAAAAGACTAAACTATCCATTGTGTCGCTATAAATAGAAATTTATCTTAGGCTTAGTTCCTCACACAATACACATAACATACTTTCAAATTAAAAAAAAAAAGTGAAGAAGTAAAAAAGTAAAATATAGCATGGCTAAGTTTGCTTCCATCATCACCTTCCTCTTCGTTGTTCTTATTATCTTTTCTGTTTTTGGTAAGTATTGATTTTATTATACGCATGGAAAATTATATTATTTATTAAATTTCAGATGANTGGAAGGGCAGAAGTCATGCAAGAGGCAGCCTTTGTCAGGGAAAAAATTTTGTATGAAGGATGGTGATTGCCGGAAGATTTGCGTCGAAGCCGAGAAAGCAACACGTGCTACTTGCGATTATACATTCCCAAGGCGCATTTGTTACTGCCACTTTCCATGCAAAACACCAACACCATAGCCGTTCCAAGACATTTTTATACCATATGCCAAATAAATATTACTACCGTAATATCCTGGAATAAAGTCCATTTCAATATTATTATAATAAGTTTTCTATATAATTGCAAGTTATAACAACTTTAATAAATTTTTTTTTTTGATAAAAATCAATGATGTAAGAATACCAATAAATTTTATTACAAAGTGCTATTTGGGAGAATTGTCCATATATTAACCATTTTAACATATCTACTTTGTTATGGACGACACCAATGAGTTGCTAGATATACAATTGTTACCACCTTGATATTTGATAATTTATGTGACATGTTACTGTGGTCTGGAGTGCTGGAAGGAACCACCGTTTGCAGAAACAGTGCATATTAGAAACGAACGTTTGCAGAAACAATGCATGTTAGACGTTTCTTCGTCGTTTTTTACCAAACAATCACGTTTTTATCTGTTTCTATTGACAATGAATGTTGTTTCAGTTGTCGGAAAAGAAACCAATGTTTTGCAGAAACATTGAAACTGGTCACTGGTGTTCAGCTTGTTTTTTTATCATCTTTAGTAACTTTGACGATATAAGAAAAATTGTTTGTTCATTGAAATGAGAAAAACCATAACTGCAACTTGACAAAACAAACACTAAACGAAACTGGTGACTGGTGTTCAGCTTGTTTTTTTATCATGTTTAGTAACTTTGACGATATAAGAAAAATTGTTTGTTCATTGAAATGATCAAAACCATAATTGTAACTTGGCAAAACAAACACTAAACGAAAATGAGAAAATAAGTCTCAGCTGATACGAAGTGAATAGAAAATTATTAAAGCCCCTTCACGCACTCCATGCCTCTAAGCCCACCCTTCAAGCACTCAAATGCTCTCTAAGCCACAAGAGTGCTGGCAGTAGTAGACTCGCTGTAAAAACAAAGAACAATCAAAGATTTATATTAGAACCTTTTAAATAACAAAAGATAAGAAACAACAACGAAATTAGATTATAATGCACTCACTACTTCCAGACTGGGGGAAGCTTCTTGGTCTTCTTGTAGTAACGAGCAAGACGGTGGATCCTGCTCTCCACGAGAATCAACCTAAACTTGGAATCCTTGTCTTTCCTGTTCCTCTCCAAATGCTTACGGATAGCAACTGCCTTCTTGATCAAGTGGTATAGATCCTCAGGAATCTCAGGAGCAAGACCTTTTTAAGACAACAAAACTCTTTAAGATTCCTTCTACATATATATGTATATAGATACAATATGTAATCTGGTTTAAAACACAAACCATGAGCTTTCAAGATTCTCAAAATCTTGTTTCCAGTAACACTCTTGACCTGAGGGATACCGTGAGAGTCACGAAGAATGACACCAATCTGAGATGGAGTCAAACCCTTCTTTGCAAACTTGCATATTGACTCATCCACCTGTTTTAATAATACAATAATCAGACCCAAAGTATTATAAAACCAATTACGTACTTCTTAGACAATGAAACAGAACACACTGAAATAGATTTACAAGTTAAAAAATTACACGAAACAGTTCTTCTTTGAAGATATGTTAAACGTTCCGACAAACCCCAAAAAACCAAGTTATAGTTCCAAAGTTCTGGTCTTAATACTAGGCGTCAGATAAAGCTAAGCTAATGTCTCAACAAAAACACAAATAAACATATCTAAAATGTCGGAAAAAGTCTTACATCGAGTGCGGTGGTTTTGAGCCAAGTCGGAGGTGAACGCTTGTAAGGCAAAGCAGATGCGGAGATTCCCTTTCTACATAAGAACAAAATGAGAAGATAAGAATCACAAAACACCTTTATGAATCTTAAAAAAAGCAGATAAGAGGATGATAAAGAACTTTGACGAACCCTCTGGAATGCATACGCCCCATCTTGAAGTATTTTAGAGTTTCTTCACTGTCTCGACGAGATCGTTGCAGCTGCGCTTCGAGTGAGAGCTTTATATACTAAACCCTAATTTTTTATCGCTTACAATTGGGTCGACCTCTCGTTTTGTTTAAGATCAACCGTTGGGCTTTAGGTTTTGTTAGTAATAGCCCATTTTAAAGGAAAAAAGGCCCATAATTGATCTCTATTTTCTTTTTAAATAAAAGCCTGTCCGTTTTGGTACTAAACCTTGAAACTAAAAACAGCTAGTAATAAAAATTTGGCTTTGGTTCGGTTATAGTTCGATTCGATTTTTGGATAATTGCAGATATTTGAAAGTTGATAATTTTATGTAATTCTTGTAAATATTTTGGATAATTCAACATTTGGTATGATTTTCAAATAATTCGTGATCTTTGTCTTTTAGTTAATATGGGAATAATTTTGGATCGAGTTGTTTTGGTTTCTTGGTTCACATATAATACATACTAGGTGATTTTCCCGTGCTCATGCACGGATATAAATATTCATAAAAGTAAAATTTTATAATAATTGATTGATATTTAGTTTTAGTTTTAAATAAATTTATTTGTATAATTTATATTAATAAATATTATATTATTCTAGTTATACATATGACTATGAGTATATTATTGTCAGTTTATTATTTTTGGATCAATAGTCGGTATAGTTATCAATTTGGTATATTGGATAATATTTATTTTTAGAATTCAGCTATAATATTTTTATTCTAAATATAATAAAACTTTGATTAGTTTTCTTATTTTCATTTCGGTTGGTTATTGTCTTAGATATGTAAATATATTATAGTTAAATTATGTATAACTTAATATATATTGTGCTTACAATGAAATAAATATTAAACTGAAGTGTTTGATTCAAAATTACATAAATGAATATAATGATAATATTTTGAAGTCTCATGCATATATATAAATTCTACAAAAAAAAAAATTGTAACTGGTAATTGTTGAATATTCATGAACATATATATTTTTATTATTTTGAATATATATTTTATGTTATTTAAAAATATATATTAATGGGGGTATTACTACTTTGTGAACTTTCCTTTTTAATAAAGTCATATTATATACATATATTTTCGTTTTAAAATTTGTTTTACAATTTTAGAAATATTTCTTTTTTATTACATATATTTTTTGGAAAAAAGTAAAAAGGAAACTAAATAAAAAAATTAATAATAATCTTAAAATCTAACAATTCATTAAGAGTATCTATATAATCAACCATCGCGAGAGTTAATGTGAGCGCGACACATAGGAAACTGACTTCTCAAATAATATTATAGAGATTGTTATTTGGAAAAAAAATAAAAGGAAATAATAATATTTAAAAGTATTTTTTAATTCATTAGGGGTATCATAGTAATCAACCAGCGTGAGAATTAACGTGAGCGCGACACATAAGAAAGTGACTTCTCAAATAATATTATAGAGATAATGTTAATACAGCCTTATTTTAAAGTTATAAAATAGAGTTAACCCAGTTAGCGATTCTCAAATAATATTATAGAGATAATGTTAATACAGCCTTGTTTTAAAGTTATAAAATAGAGTTAACCCAGTTAGCGAGATCTTTATCTTTGCGAGTGTAGTCTGAAAAGTGTGATCATGCATATGCTTAAAGCTGGATTAGTCTTTTAAGTTGTAATTATCAAAGCCTTTAGTGTATTATTAGTCTTTGATTATATCATAATGTCAGAAATTATAAAATAACATCTAACTCGAACGTAAATAAATTAAAGGTTTAGGAAAACGCAAGAATATATAAAAGAGTGAGGTTCGTGAAAGCAAAAGAGAAAACTTGTGAGGATATGTATTGTCGATGAGATTATTGTTAATTAAGTAATACATATCGAGGAGATTATTGTTAATTAACTAAAGTGCACATTTGTCTGGATCACGTGATTCCTTGTGAGCAGTATTCGATGCTACAATAAGTAAATAATATCTTGTAAAACTTTATGCTTCAATCTTGTCTTGGACTTGCTTGGTTAATTGTAGTCTCCAAAAAAACTTGGTTTCTGTGAAGCAAACACCACATCATAGCATTCAAAAAAATATGCAGATTAATACACAATACATTCATTTCTTGAGTACATAGTTTGATATAATTCTAGAGAATAGTGTTTTTAGGTTAACTATTGAACATATATGACTACATCTACGAACTCTCACGAACATATGTATACACATGTGTATATTAATTTCTAAGTTTTATTTACTTTACAAAAAAATAGGTCTAGTATTGAATATTCGGATTGGGCCGAAATGTCCAAATAATTTATTAAGAAACGCATTAATCATAGTTTCTTTTTTTCACAAATCCATTACAACTAAATTAGATTAGAGCTCATCAAGTGACTAAGTAGTCTATGCGTAACACAGTGAATAGAGTAATAAATAGAAACTATGTACACACAACTTATCTGGAAATTAGGTATATACCATAGACATTTATTTTTTTTTTAATTCCAAGAATATCCCTACTCTCTTCTCTCTCGTCTCTTTCTTTTCTCTCCCTCCTACTCGCCTCCTCCTCTCCCGCCCCTCTTCCTCCCCCTCCCCTCCTCCTCCTCTCCCGCCCCTCCTCCTCCCCCTCCCCTCCTCCTCCTCTCCCGCCCCTCTTCCTCCCCCACCCCTCCTCCAATTTCTCTGTCGTTTCTTTCTTTCCTCTTTCCTTAATTTCTCTCTCGTCTCTTTCTTTCTCTCTCATCTCTAGTCAATTTTGAAATTGTTGTGTATGTATAGGGTTAAAAGAGTCAATTTATCTTCTTCTCAGATACTTTTTCAGACCAAAAATATGTATATAGGTAGATAGCTAATATTGATATAGTTTGAGGATATTTGCCAAATTGACTCTAATAAATATTGCGAGTTCAAGTCATAGTTGTACAACCAGACCAGTGTCATCGCTCGCACCAGAATTGAAATGGTTGAATTATTGATATGATTTGAGTTTAGTATACCACAATTATGCTATATGGTAAGTTGCGTAGAACGATTTTGATCTATCACTGAAAAATCAATTAATTGAGAGATGGTAGTGACATACAGTGGTCAACTATGACAGACAAAAAAAATAAATATCTGCCGAAGCTGAGAGGACTATGTTATTTCCACCATAATCAGAGATCTAATTTTTTTTTTTTTTTGGTGTAAGTCAGAGATCTAATTCATATTTATATTCTAAACACTGATCGCATTTTGACATGAATTTTGTCTCTTGAGTGATATAACTCACTATTTTTGTCTCTCCATGTCAGGATGTACACTTCCTTTCTTCTTCGCATATCAATTACATTTAAAAATGTAATAATTAGCTTACATACTGTTTGTATCATGGACACTACTGCGTTTTGTCTTCCCGTGTTAGGTGAGACAAAAGAAATAATCAACTCTTACCTTTTATATTTGAATTTTCTGAAGTCGAGATGTGATTTTTTTTCATATCCTATGTGGATTTTTAGGTATACGACAACAAAGTTATTGTTTGCTGTAGTTTCNAAAATGTAATAATTAGCTTACATACTGTTTGTATCATGGACACTACTGCGTTTTGTCTTCCCGTGTTAGGTGAGACAAAAGAAATAATCAACTCTTACCTTTTATATTTGAATTTTCTGAAGTCGAGATGTGATTTTTTTTCATATCCTATGTGGATTTTTAGGTATACGACAACAAAGTTATTGTTTGCTGTAGTTTCGTATTGCTTAACGAGCTAGCGCAAATACGAATTGAAAACTTGAAATACGTGATGAAGCTACTTAATTATAATATAATTAGAACTTATATACACACAAAAACTATAATAATAAGTATTGCATTTGAATAATTCGAGATTTTATAACATCTGATAATTAATTGGCACGCGTATATATAGCGTTGGACAGTTTTAGATATAATAAATCAAAGAAAACATCGAACAAACATGAGTTTCGTTTTTCAACGTCTGAATATACGAGACGGAGAAAACATAGACTTATAAATAGTATTGCTATTAATGGTTCCTCTTAGATTTAGACACGATATGTAAGAAAACAAAATACATAGATGTGCTCAAAAACAAAACAAGGATGATAGTCCGTTGAATGCGGTGCCTACCAAGTACCAACATATAACAATATAATGATCCTTATTTGAATTTTTATTGTACTCATATAAACATCGTACTCATGCAGTCATGCATCCAAACAAAATGTGACAGGCTGGGTTTGCTACCTGTGAGCTTTTCTCTTATAGACGAAGACGATTCAAACACTTGTATATGAAGT